GCAGGTAACTCAATGCTACCACAAATGTATTCTGCATTTCAGGCACTGAGTTTTGTATGTAAAATTACCTAGGCCAATATTATTCCCACAAAGAGGATGTTATTAGAAACGTTTCCAGAAAGAATTTGAAGTCTTTATTAAACATATTGGGGATTTCAGTAGGGCCAGAGATATGTATTCAGAGTCCTTGCCGTTGATGGGTAATGTTGAGTTAAACCTTGCTTAAGGCAAGGGGGCAGTGGAGGTCTCAGCCAATTTATGGAATATCTCAGAATTAGATTTACAAGCTTTTGCCAGTCATTAACCCCTGCTGAACCGTCTGCATTGAGACGTTGCCTTGGGTGCAAACGACGCTTTCCAAAATGCCTGGTGCAAAGAGGTGAATGAAGTGGGTGTCAACAATGAATAAGAAACCGGCGTGGCTAGAATTTTACCCAAAGTCTGGCCATACTCATTTCCTGACTCACTTAAAAAGGAAACTCTGTGGAAAAATATAACAAGGGGTGGGAGTGGAAGGCGGAGAAACAACCCCTGGTATTTTCTGGTAGAAAAAAAAAATAAGACTCCGGATTTTTAATCTTTTGACTGTCAGACACAATTACTCGGCACAATCAAATCATGAATGGCAAAACGTAAGAAAACTGCAAAATATCCATCCACCCAGCAAACAGATCAATAAAATCCTTGTTTGTAAAGGAAGGGGCCTCCCACCCATCCTCCACTCAACCCGGGCCAGGACTGTTTGGAAGAATTCAGGAGCGCCTCTGATGATTGATTGATTGATGTCACTCACCTCACCTAAGTGACTCTGGGCAGCTGAAGGTCCCTCTGGGAGGCCAGGAGGGCTGGGAAGAATTTCAGGCCAGGGAGGCTGTTTGGGGAGGCAAAAAGGGGCTTTGGAGGCCCCTCCTCCTTCTGCAGACTTGCCAGTTCCAGGTTTCCTATCCCGCTCGCCAGAGAAACGGGAGCTGGAGAGGAGCACCAGCCGCTCTGGGCGAAGTGTGACTCACTTAACAACGGAGCAACGGAAATTCAGGTCCTTCTGGGGTTAGAAGTGGAGGATTACCTCCATTCTTCTCCTCCAGGGCCTGGCTACGAAGAGACATGATCTGTGCCTCCAGTTCCACTTCATGACTTTATTTCCCACCTCTGCACCGCCCTAAACTGCAATAAAACAGAAAGGAAACTGGGGTTTTTTTTTGAGGGGGGGGGGGTTGCTCTTTTTCGTTAGGATTGGAAATCTCCTTCTTAGCTCCCAGAGAAGGCCGACCCCAGGCAGCCTGCCGAGGAAGGGAATCAGCGGTTGGGTTGTCCAACGTCATCCCGTCCCAAGCTAAGACCTTGCAAGCCCCAGCACGCTCGCTGGAAAGAGGCCGCCGTGCCCATCACCCAGCGGAAAGGGGAGAAAATCCAAGGTTCCCAGGGAGCGGGGATGCGTGTGCAGGCATGAGCCCGTCTGCTGGCACCAGGGCCGGAGTGAGCCAGCTGGTTTCGGAAGAACATCAGAGAAAAACGCACTCGCAACGTTGATCCACCAGAGTCCCTGCTGGGCTCCTCGCAGTCCTGACGGATGAATTCGGCCGGCTGCACAGCCCGTCCTTCGGCCACCCAGGAGACCAGCAGAAAGGAGGCCGGAGACGACACCGCGCGCGTGTGTGTGTGTGTGTGTGTGTGTGTGTGTGAGTTGCTCTCCCTCATGGGCAATTGTGCTTTAAAGAGCAAGCTGCTTCTCCTACATTTACTCCAGTAACCTTGTTGGCTGAGCAGGATGGAAAAAAAAAAAAACCACAGCCGCTTCTACGCGGCATGGATGCAGCCAAGGCCCAGCAGAAGGCGATGGGCAGCCAGCCTCGGGGGTGGAAAAGGGGGCTCCCCCAAGGACCCCAAAGCTAAGGGTCACCTGCCTCTAAACCGATGCAAAACTCTCATCTCCCTCACTTGCTGTGATTCCGACAGGCAGGAACTGGTGAAGGAGCAGCAGCGTCTCTGAAGCAGAGGAGCAGGAAAAGGGGTTTGATTCGCTTTGCTCCAAGAATTGAGGGACAATTAATTACTGTGTGTGTGTGAATGGATCAGGGGGGTCCTTCCTGGGACCAGCCTCCCTACCCCAGCTCCACCGAAGCAGCCAGCTGGGCGAAACCCTTGAGGGACAGGAGGATAATCCACCCTTGGCCGTTGGGATGTCCTGTTTGCGTCCGAGACAACAGCCGTAGTCTAGAGACTTCTACAAGCAGCATCGATGGACGGATCACAAATGAACCTCCCTGGGAAGATCTGCTGCAGGCCACTTGGGGAGGCAGAAGCCCAAGGTCTCCCGCGGTGGAAGGGAGCCCGGCAAACGCCCACAGGAGCACCTCGCTGCCTGCATCATCGGCTCGGCGGCAAGGCGGGGCGAGCTGAAAATGCGGTGACGTCACATCGGCTGCGCTGCACATCGGAACGGTGCAGGGCCGCATTCGCCCACTGCCAGTGCAAGACCACCAAAGGGGGGAGGAAGTAAGAGGAGGGGGCTGCTTGGCGAGGCATAAGCCCAATGGGCCAGGCAGGTTTGCAGGCAGTCCTTGACTTACGGCCATCGCTAAGTGAGCTGTGCCCGATTTTACTGCTTTTGCTGTGGCCGCTAAGCAAATTCCCCCCCCCCAGAGCTTACCCCATTTTTGTGGAAGCCCCCCCACCCCAAAAAAAAGATGTTACCAAGGGCGATTAGACGCGCCCAAACTTTGACCACGTGACTGTGGGGACCCAAAGGCTGGTCACGGGTGGCTTTTCTCATGCCGTCGTAACTTTGAGTGGCCACTAAACAAATGGTTGTAAATTGAGCACCACCTATGCTTTCATCTTATTGCACGCGCAGTCGGGGGAAGATCCCGAACGAGCGAGCCAGGGCTGGCGGCTGCCTGGGGAACATCTCCGGTCCTTGCAAATCGCGCGTTATTTTCCCTGCAGCAGAAAACCCCATAACGGCAGCTGTTTGTGGGTTTCCTGTGGGGAGTTGAAAGGGAAGGCTGAGTTTCTGAACTTTTGCTTTGGGTTGGGATAGACGTCGAAGGCCAACCGCCCGCTCAGATTTCAGAGCTTCAAACTGAAAGCAAATGGATTTCCAGACCAGAATTCGGGATTTAATCTTACGGTGGGTGTACAGATCCCACAAGTGAGAGCGGCTTAAGCCGCTCCTCCTCCTCCAGGTCCATTCTGTACAGGGTCACCATAAGAGCTTGACAAGACTAACTGAAGTAAATAAGCGAGAGGAAAATGGCAAACCAGAAGTTAAATTCTTTTAAACCCGCCGTGTCCAACCTTGGCACAATTCTAAGACCTGTGGACTTCAACTCCCAGAATTCCCCAGCCAGCTGGGAGTTGAAATCCGCAGGACTTAAAAGTGGCTAAGGTTGGGCTCCCCTGTTTCACATGCTCACAACTTCTAAATGCAGAATTTGCCTCTTTTTAACGTGGTGTAGAAAGGGGCCAAGTTAAACCACTCATTCAGCTACCCAGAAAACCCAACCAGCCAGACGAAAAAGCAGGGATGAGCAACCACCGAATTCCCCAAGAAGCAAAGAAGTTACGGCCGCATTGAAGAGGGACTGTAGGGACTCTGGACCGTAACTGCAGAGGTGGAGTTCAGAGGCCTTTTACTACAGATCTCTCTTCTGTTGTTGTCAAGCCTATTTTTTTAAAATTCCTCTCCAGAGACAGCCAAAGCTCCGGGAACCCCACCCGATGATTGTGTGTGACTCATCTTGGAAATATTTTCCTTGTGGGAGGTCAGATTGGATGTTGAAAGAAAAAAACGGTGTTAAGCAACACTGCAACCCCAAAGCCTCTCTACCTTCTCATTAAAACCAGCCAACCCCAGCCGATTGCAGAAACAAAGAGGAAATGCTGTTTGTTGTGGCAACCAGTTTTAATATCTTAGGGCTGTCCGGGGAGTCAGAGAGCGTTACGTGGCGAGGCAGAAACCAAACTCAAACCACATTCTTTCTTGGATAAAGCACGGCATTTATCAGCAGCAAAAAATCTTGCCTAAACAAAATAAATAAAGATGAGTGCAGAAACAACCATAACAACAACAGCAGCAGCAAAAAAAATCTGAACACTTTGTGGGCCTGGAACGGGGCCGGAGGGTTGATGTCTCGGACGCCGGGTGTAACTTTGCAAAAACACGGCGGTGCTTTGGCAGCAAACTTTTCCTGTGCCGTGACATCAAGGCTGCCCTTCCCCGCCCCACTTCATCTCGGTCTCGCCTGGGGCACGACGCAACTGCGGCCACGCAACCACAGACTCCAACATTAATTAGTCTGGAGTGCAAAATAGTGCCAAATGACAAGGTGCGTACGAGCTGGGCAAAAAGCCCAAACAAAACTCAAATCTCTGTTCTATGAAAAAAAAGAAATTAGAAACCAGCAACTCGGGAATTTAAACTCTTATTTGGAAAAGACAGAGACACCCACGCTCAAAGGCAGCCCGGTACTCACTTCGACCCTCTGGAAAAGGAAATGAGTCAATAAATTGAAGTTAAAGTCTGCCTTTAGCTTCAGTGGCTACGGTTGGGCCCCCCTGTTGGGCCCTTTGGCTGAGGGCCCAGCGATGAGCCTTGGGAGGCCGTTAGCAAATCAGGGACTTCTAAAAACAACATGTCAACTTAAAAAAGCCGTTTGTGTTCGTGGCCAAGACTGTTTTCCTGACATTCCTGCAACTGGCAGAAAAGGGCAGTTTGAAAAAGGGAAACCGAAAGCCAGGTCTGTTCTCGGCCACTTCCGCTCCAGCTGCCCCAAAGGAGCCGAGCTCTTTAAGGCAACGGCCCGGGGCTTGGATTTCACCCAGCGACACGTTACTGGGAACCAACGGCGACATGCAAGCGGTTCTGATCGTGCAGACTTGGCTGCCTTCCTTTCTCGCCGCAGGAGAATCTCCTTCGATGCTCCTCTTGAGTGCCGGAGAGACGTGGGAAAGGTTTCACGGCCTGAGGGAGTGGCCCAGCCGCTTCTCCCTTCGCTGGCGAGGCAGCTCTTTCGCGGTTCAGCCAGGCTGCGGTTCAGTCGGGCGGCCTCAAGCTGGGGCGCTTCTTTTTCCAGAATTTCCGCTTTGGGCCTTGACTTGCCGGCCTGGAGCCCTTATCCTGGGCAGCCCCAGGCTTCTTTCTTGGAGGCTCAGCCTGCAAGGAACCGTCCCTGGATCCCGCGGAGACCGGCCCTCGGCGGCTGGGCGTGCCCGGGAAAGCTTTGCCTTCCCTCCTCATCTAGAAGCCCGAAAGGGGGGCGGGGGGGGGGGGGAGAGAAAGAGGAAACGGCTTCAAAATGAGTCAAAGTTTCTGCCGGAACCGGTTATAAAACCTAAGTCACCCTGAAACCCAGGGAAAAACTCTTTCCTTGTTGCTGCTCTGCTCCCAAAGGAAAACAGTCAAACTAATTTCTGTGCCCAGGGACGGCACAACAACCCCGCACTTCAGGAACAAGCGGCCCCCTCGAGCGAGCTCACGCTTCCCTTGGCTTCCTTCGTGAATTGTCCTTTGCAAAGTGACCACGGCATCGATTTTGATCCTCATGAACAGCCTCCTTCAGAGCTGTTCCCTTTTCAGGCTTCTGGTCTATTTTGTCCAAGAAAATAGGGCCACTGTAAGTGTTTGTTGTTGTGAGGGAGCGACCGCGAGGCAGTGAGGGTTTCGGTATCACTGGAGCGGTATTATCCGCTTCCCCTCCCCTGGACCCGGGGAACAACCCGGGTTGGACTAGAAGACCTCCAAGGCCCCTTCCAATTCTCTTATTCTATTCTATTTCTATTTCTATTTCTATTCTATTCTACTCTACTCTACTCTATTCTATTTTCTATTCTATTCGATATTCTCTTCTCTTCTATTCCTATTCTATTTTCTGTTCTATTCTTCATTCCATTATCTATTCTATTCCTATTCCTATTTCTATTCTAAATTATTTTCTATTTCTATCCTATCCTATCAGTGGTGGGATTCAAACTTTTTTACTACCAGTTCTGTGGGCGTGGCAGGGAAAGGATACTGTAAAATCTCCAGCCAGAGGTGGGATTGGCCGGTTCTCTGAACTACTCAAAATTTCCGCTACTGATTCTCCACCTCGGTATCGTACCCTCTAGGACAGGGGTCTCCAGTCTTGGCAACTCTAGGACTTGTGGACTTCAACTCCCAGAATACCTCAGCCAGCCATAGGAATTCTGGGAGTTGAAGTCCCCAAGCCTTGAAGTTTCCAAGGTTGGAGTCGCCTGCTGCTCTAAGATTTCTCCCTCATCTCCATTCTCGGAACTCCTGACAAACGTATTCAAATGTCTTCCGGAATTACTTTGAAAGGTGATGAAGAGGCCCATCTCTGGCAAGGTTTTATAATTTAAAAAAAGGGGGAGCCCTGCCCTCACGTGGGGTGGCCAAACCCTAAATCAGAGGTCTCCAAACTTGGCCACTTGAAGACTTGTGGACTTCAACTCCCAGAATTCTCCAGCCAGCTATGCCTGTTTCTTCTCTCTCTCTCTCTTAATCTCCTCAAGTGGAGAGAGATTGCAGAGGAAGGGATCACAAGAGAGTTAAGCTATGCTGGCTGGAGGATTCTGGGAGTTGAAGTCCACAAGTCTTCAAGTGGCCAAGTTTGGGGACCCCCTGCCCTAAATAGTCCCACCCACCCCCCCAAACAATCATTCCTCACCTTGGCGTTCCTGGCGCCCTCGTCCGGCCTCGGAGGGAAAGTGCACGGGACGCGGCCCTGAGCAAAGTGATGTGGCAGCGGGACGTCGGGGTCCAGGGGGACCCAGGGCACCGAGAGGGCAGCCGGGGCGGGGGGCAGGTCGGTGTGCGCAGCGTGCAGGTTGTACATTGCCCGAGTGGCGATGCCGTCCGAGCTCTTGTAGATGGAGGCCGAGGAGTCTCCCGCCAGGTGGGTCAAGAGGAAGGAGCCCTCCTGCAAGCTGACAACGCAACAGCCGTTACACACCTGCGGAGCAGCAGTGGGGGTTTGGACTTTTACCACCGGTTCTGTGGGCGTGGCTTGGTGGGCGTGGCAGGGGAAGGAGACGGCAAAATCCCCGCTCCCTCCCCAGTTATCCCTTTTATATAATTTTGCCCATGTCATATACCATGGTCGCATAATTTTGTAAAAGTTTTTTCATAAATTATGAAAGAAAGAGAAGGGTGGAAGGAAGGAAAGGAGGGAGGAAGAAAGAAAGAAAAAGTAAAAAAAAGAGATAAAAGTCGTTTGCTGACCTGGGCGGCTGTGCAAATCAAAATCGAAATCGAAACCAAAACCAACCAACCCCTCAGGGGGCTCCCTTTGGCCTTGTGGGACACAAACCGCCTCCTTCGCCCCCCATCACCGACATGCGGTTTTTGAACGTGTGCGGCGGTGATCCAGAAGAGATCTCTCCCTCCTCCTCCTCCTCCTCCTTTTCCCAAGCTCCAAGTAGTTTTCCCAGCACGGGAATTCTGGGCCTCTCCTCAGTTTAAATCGCTTGTTACGCACGCAACGTTCAGGAAGGGAAGGAATGGAGAAAGCCAAGTACGTACCCAGCCACTTTCTTCAAGATGTTTTGGAGAATGTATAATGAATTGGTTGGACTGTGGAGGGAAGAAGAGCATTCAGAGGCCACAAAATAACCAGGGGGAAATTAAGGCATTCTGCAAACATCCCAATTGCTGTTTGTTCAGGAGATAAAACAGGCAGGGTAGAAATCCGAGGAATGTATGGATTCTGAAGGCCAAGCGTGAGGGGTCAGGCTCCGTCAGCTGCTTCGGTTATTTTAAATCCATTCCAAGCAGCTGCAGGATGTGTGGAGAAACCACGAAGCCTGGCATCGGACAGGAGGTGCAGCACCCTCAACTGTCAGTCGCTTTTAGGAGCACCAAGTTCCTAGACCTCATGACTCAAAGGGGAGTTTGGGAAATCCCTGGACTTTGTCAGCTGTCGTTCCACAAAGCGATCAAGAAATCGAAGCCTTGGGTGGGCTTCTGTGGCTGAGCAGGATCCGAGTATCTCTATGGTAAAATAAAAGACCTTCCTCTAACTCAGGGGTGTCCAACCTTGACAACTTTAAGACTTGTGGACTTCAACTCCCAGAATTCCTCAGCCAGCAAAGCTGTGGACTTCAACTCCCAGAATTCCTCAGCCAGCAAAGCTGTGGACTTCAACTCCCAGAATTCCTCAGCCAGCTGGGAGTTGAAGTCCACAGCTTTGCTGGCTGAGGAATTCTGGGAGT